CCTGCTTCAGCCTCCCGAGTAGCTGGAATTACAGGCACCTGCCACCATGCCCGGCTAATTTTTGTATTTTTAGTAGAGACGGGGTTTCACCATGTTGGCCAGGCTGGTCTTGAACTCCTTATCTCAGGTGACCTGCCCGCCTCAGCCTCCCAAAGTGCTAGGATTACAGGTGTGAGCCACCGTGCCCGGCTGATTGCCAGGAATTAAATCAGTGCTGGCACATAGTAGTTCTTTGTAGTATTCGTTGACTGAATAAGTGACTTGAATCCCTTTGATTAGTTATATAGCTTTTTTTAGATTTCTCTTGTTTCTTGCATTCTTCCCTGTCTTCCTCTTTGTTTCTCCTCTTTTGTTTTTGTTTGTTTACTTGTGTGGTTTTTTGTTGTTTTTTATTTGTTTTTACTGTGGCTTTGGTTTCACTACCCGAGAAATCCCAGACTTCAGCACTGGAAGCTAAAGCTGAACTAAGCTAACTCAGGAGCCTCAAATCTATTTTAAGTGTTAATTCCCTTGGCTTGGTTCAGCCCCACAATGCATTCTTTGGGGATTCATTTAATTTTTCTTAGCAGGTTCTGGCTGGATGTTAAACCTGGCCAAGGGAATGTGCTTCAGGCTATTGAGTTTAGGTTTTATTTAGAATCTGAAGTCCCTCCCCCATTTGTGTACAAACATCATTTTAACACAATTTATTATTAAACGTATGGGGGTGAAGGAGCATACAGAGGTCACACACATTCCCTGAAACATAATCCTGTAATTAAAAGTGCACCATAAAACTTATGCTGTTCCCATCTCTAAGGCTACTTTTATAAAATGCATCTGATGTTTTTCCATAGGACCCTCTGACCTGAGGCATAATGTTAAAAAACAATCAACTCAAAGGGTCTTTGGTTTATATGCTACGTTTGCAGAACACCGACTGCAGTTCTTGGTGAACAGTCAATTCTCAGATTGCCACGGTGAAGCACGATTAAGGCCCATCGAAAGTACTTCCTAAAATCCACAGTGAATATGAATTGATATTTTTCAAAATGGCCACCATTTTGAAAATTTCTCTGTTTCCATTTCACTATTGGCCTCTGCTATAGAAATTAGGATTTTCTCACTGCATGTTCTCACTCATAAGTGGGTGCCGAACAATGAGAACACGTGGACACAGGGAGGGGAACATCCCACACTGGGGCCTGTCAGGGGGTGAGGGGCTAGGGGGAGGGATAGCAGGAGGTAGGGGGTTAGGGGAGGGATATACCTAATGTATATTAGGTATATCTAATATACATTAGGAAATACCTAATGTAGATGATGGGGTGATGGATGCAGCAAACCAGCATGGCACGCGTATACCTATGTAACAAACCTGCACATTCTGCAAGTGTACCCCAGAACTTAAAGAATAATTTTTTTAAAAAGAAATTAGAGTTTTGTGCTTGCTTAAGTGTATATAAAAATAGAGGAGAGGTTCTCAACCAGGGTTGATATTGACAGCAGGGGGCATTTGGCAATGTTTGGAGACAGTTTTAGTTGTTACAACTCGGGGAGAGGGCAGCTACTGGTAAACAGTGAGGAGAGGGCCCAGGGATGCTGCAATTCCCTGTACAACAAAGAATCACCCAGCCCAAAAATCTCAATAGTGCCAAGGCTGAGAATTCCTGAGATAGAGAGACGTTCACTGCATCATTGATTAATATAGGGGAAAAAAAACCCCAAACTGTAAATAACCTGGATGCACATCAGTTGGGGAATGGTTAAATAATAAACTCTGCTACATCATTTCAACGGAATACTTGCAGACATTTAAGAAGAAGCAGGCAGCTCCATGTGTCCTGATGTCGAAAACTGTCCAGGCTGTATTTTTTTATGTGAATAAAAACAAAATACAACAGAGTTTTTGTTAAGCGATTATCTGTTTTGGGTGATATTAAGGAATTTCTGGCTCAATATTAAGGAATATTGTGGCTATGTTTTCCAAAAAGGGTCTTTTCTTTAGAGAGAGACTTACATGGAAATATTTACAAATGAAATGCTATTATGGAATTTGCTGCCAAATGCTATGACAGGGGGAAGTAGGTGGAGTGGAAATGGGGCAGGACTGGCCATGAGTGCTGTGCCTGTGTGATGAGTTTAGGGAGGCTCATTAGATGAATGTGGGTATTTTTGCAGTGTTTTTGGAATTCTCCATAATATAAAGTTGCCACACACACACACACACACACACACACACACACACACGTAAATGCACTGAAGAAAATCTGGCAGGAGATAAGAGATGGTAGGTAGGTAGATAAATACAGACAGACAAATGTGGATTTGGCTCTGTATAACAAAGAACTTAAATAACAGTGGCATAAATAACCTAGGAGTTTATTTCTCTCTCATCTAAAAGTCTGAGTTGACACAGCAGCTCTGCTCTGCAAAGTCATCAGCAGTCCAGATTCCTTTCCTCTTGTTTCCTCATTCTTTAAGTGCTGCCCTTTTCCTTATTGTCCAAGATGGCACTCCATCACATGACATTCTATCCAGTAGGAATGGGGAAAAGAGGAAGGTCCACCCCATTCCTTTTAGGACCTAAGCTACATGTTGCTCGCATCACTTTTGATTCCATCCTATTGACTGTGCTTAGTCACATGACCACAGCCTAACTGCAAAGGAACCTGGGAAATGCAGTCTTTATTCTGGGTAGCTGAGTGCCCTGCTAAGAATTAGTTGTATTTTGCAGAAGGGAGAAGGGAAAGAATACTGGGGATCACCTAACAATCTCTACCACAGTGTACCCAAACTGTGAATGATTAGTACAGATCACTGAGACTGTGGGGAACTTAACTTTTTACATTATATGTTGTTCTGCCTCTTACCACGAGCATGTATAGTTTTTCTTCTGTAAAAAGAAATACAGAAAATGTTATGATAAGTGGCACATGCCATGATCCTTGTCTGTAACACTGTGAGGCTGTAGTATAATTTTTTTGTATTCATTTCACTGATACTCATTGCCTGATTGTTTAATGCCAATTACAATTACTGTATTACGTGCCAAGGACACAGAATTGACAAGACAGACAAAGCCCCCAGCCTCTGAAAGTGAACAGAGAAATATGCAGTATATTTTAAGATAGTGATCAGAATTAAGAAGGCAAATAAAACATGCTCATGGGATAGAAAGTAGGTGGTGATTGGGGGGATTTGGGAAGAGTTTGACAATATGATCAAGAAAGGAGGCTGGGCTCACACCTGTAATCCTAGCTCTTTGGGAGGCCAAGGCAGGTGGATCACCTGAGGTCAGCAGTTCAAGACCAGCCTGACTAACATGCTCCATCTCTACTAAAAATACAAAAAATAGCCAGGCATTGTGGCAGGTGCCTGTAATCCCAGCTACTCAGGAGGCTGAGGCAGGAGAATTACTTGAACCTGGGAAACCGAGGTTGCAGTGAGCTGAGATTGCGCCATTGTACTCCAGCCTGGGCGACAGAGAGAGACTCCATTTCAAAAAAAAAGAAAGAAAGAAAACAAAGCAATCTCTGAGGAGGTGGCATTTGAGAAAACACCACAGGTGGAAGAGGATTTGTTGCAGGAGGAACAGCAAGTGCAAAAACTATAAAGTGGGAACCAATTCACTAGGTCTGAATAATCGCACAAAGGGGAATGTCCCTGCAGGAGAGGCTATAAGGACGGAACTTCCAGGAGGCGAGATTGGAGGGTGGGAAGGGTTTTGGATTAAGTGTTATATTAGGTCATTTGAGTATTAATTTCTCCAAGTTATTGTGGCCAAAAAGTGGCTTTCCTAATTATTTGCAATCATTTTCAAAATAATTAGGAAACATGGAATGTGGAAAAACACTCCATTGGCACAGTGTCATGTGGTGAAAGAGACCTGCGCCTTGTTCCAGCTCTGCCTGTCGTTAGCCGTGGGACCTGAAGAAACTTACTTGATTTGTTAGCCTCCCAGTTTCTTTACTTCTAAGGGTGGAGAAGAGCACTTACTCTGTATCCTATTCTGCGTTCAGAACTATACAAGTGTAGTCATTTCATCCCCACAGCAGCCCTAGGAGGTGGGGACCCTTTGTATCCCCATCTGACAAGTGAGAAAATTGAAGCAGAGAAGTCAAGGAAGATCCCACACCATTAGCAAGTGGCAAAGCCGGGATTTGAACTCAAGCACCCGGGCACCCGAGGAAGCTGCTTAGTCACCACTGTTCCAGGTTCCTGCCAACTCTGCCCACCTCACAGTCTGGTTGGGGGAGTGCAATGAGGAAAGAATTTTGACAGCAACTTGCAAGAATGTAAATGTTGAACAAATGTACTAACATTATTGGAATATTCTAGAATATCTATCTTCTTTACAAATAAATATTTTAAAGTTTCTAAACTCCTAGTGAAAGAACTGATTCAGGCCACAAACTTTAGTGGATGAAACCATGAGATCGGAGGTTAGTGGGGAACTTTATAATGGAGGAAGCAGGAGGTGCTACCTGAACACGAGGGCCTTTGTGGTGTCACTAGAAAGGAGACACCTGGGACTCCTGATGAGCTGCAGCGGTGAGAACCCAGCACCAATTCCAGAGCATTGCTACCCTCCCTCAGATTACTCTGAACCTAATCACAATTCCAGCTGACTTATGGGAAATACAATGAAAAGAGAAATGCGTTAACAACACTGTAAAGAGGCAAATACAGAACATGAGATATTCTGCAAGACAACTGACGAGTTTCCCCAACACATCGAGTCTGTATAAAAAGGAGGGGAAGGCTGTCCTAGATTAAATAAATGTAGGAGATACAATAAGTAAATCTACTGTGCAGACTTTGTTTAGGTCCTATATCACAACCCACCTTTACAAGGGTGTGTTGAGACAACTGGGGAAGAGTGAATGTGGACGGTGTTCAAGATGGCACAAAGAGTGACTGTGAATTTTGTTACGTGTGATGATGGAAAACATCCATATTTTTAAATGAGGTGTATGGAGAAAAGAGGCTTCAAGGTTGAATTTGTTTTAAACACTTGAGCAAAGAGAAAAGTAAACCAACCAAAATTCTGAGAAAAGACACGTTTGGTAAAAATCATGAACATTGTTGTGTCTCAGTAATGGGTGCACAGGAGTTCATTCCACTATTCAGTCTACTTTCATATATGTTGGAAATTTTTCATTAAAAAACTTCTAGCCCTCACCATGAAGCCATCTGATGAAAAGAGAGGGAGGGGAAAAAAAAAACTCATTGTATGAAATTGCATAAAATTCAGCCAACCTCCAAACAAGAATAAAAACAGTTTTTAAAAACACTCATGAATCGCTGCATGGCTCATTCAATTTCAGGGTAATGATGTAATTAGAGGAGATCAGTCATTAGAAAAGATTAATTTTAAGACATCTGCTGCTGTCAGTGGCAGATGGCAGAAGAGGGGAACATTCAAAGCAAGGGGCTCTCAATCCATCTCTGCTACTTACAGTTGGTTTTAGGCAAATGTCTTCGATTTCTGTCCCCACTTTCCTTACCAATAAAATGGGATTGAAGTTCTACCAAACTAAAATGGGATTGAGGTTGGTAGAAGATCGGGAAGATTATGGGGACTCAAATAGGAAAGGCACTTAAAGCAACATCTGGCAGGTGGACAGCGCTTAGTGTACATGAATTACTATTATTTCCATCTTCACAGTTGTCAGTGCGTCATGGGGCACAAATACTAATTTGGACAAGTGAAGATCCTCTCCTATTTGGTTTCCAGTATTCACTTTCTCTTACCCATTCTTCAACATTTCTTTCCCGCCTGGTTCCCTTCCCCCAATAACAATGCCCTTGCTTTGTAGACTCAGAACAAAGCTCGCCACAGTTTAAATGGTTTCAAATGGGTCCAGGTCATTGCAATGAGCTATGGTTGGGGTGAAGGAAAGGGAGAGGAACAGTGAAGGACAACGTTGCTGGTGTGGTACCTGAAAGCAGAATGCCTCTGCAACCTGAGGATTCTCTTTCCTCCCTGGATCTCCTGCCTGCCTCATGGTGGGATACCAGGACTCCAGGACTCCCCCGGTGGCCTCCAGCACTTCATGTTCTCCAGCCATCCTTGGCAAGAAGGACTCTTCCCTTACAGTAAGAGTCCTTGGTGTTTTGCTTTGTGCCTAGTTTTGGTGGTTGTGGGTTGGGGTGTGGGTTTGGTTTGGTTTCTTTTTTTTCTTTTTAATGGCTCTGCGTGAGAAATGTTCTATAAAGTTCTACATTTGGCTCCAGGGCCCTGCTGAACCCAACCAGGAATCAAGCAGAACGTGTGTGGTCCTGTCCCAGTCTGTCACTGCACGTTGGGTGCCTTTTTAAAGGTTGCCTCTTGTGGGCCTAGAGAATATTGGAACACGCATCATAAAATGCAGGCATCCAAACTTGCATCATGTGTTTTTTTCAAAAAGCCGATCTCAAGAGGTTGCATACTGCACGATTCCATTTATATAACTTTTTCAAAATGACATTTTAGAGATGGAGAACAGATTAGTGGTTGCCAGGGGTTAGGGGTTTTGGGTCGGGGGGGCCTGGGGTGGGTGTGCCTATGAAGGAGTAGCACAGGGAAATCTTTGCGGTGATGGACTCGTCTCTAGATTGCAGCAGTGGCTATGCAGAGCTGCACATGTGATAAAATGACACAGATCTACACACACACTGCATTAACCTCAGCTTCTTGGCTTTGACATTGTACTATGGTTATGTAAGATGTAATCACAGGGTGGAAGGCATTGGGTGAAGGGCACTCAGGACCTTTCTGTACTATGTTTTGCAACTTTTTGTAAATCTAAAACTATCTCAAAATAAAAGGTTTTGGCTGGCGCAGTGGCTCACGCCTGTAATCCCAGCACTTTGGGAGGCCAAGGCAGGGGGATTGCTGGAGCCCAGGAGTTCGAGACCAGCCTGGCCAACATAGTGAAATCCAGTCTCTTAAAAAATAAAATAAAATAATAAAATGTTTTTTAAAATACCAGGGACAGCAAAGTTGGATTGATTGACCAAATGATGGACCCTTGTTTTACAATCAAGAATGAGGGAAGCAGACTGGGCGCGGTGGCTCACACTTGTCATGCCAACAGTTTGGGAGGCTGAGGTGGGCAGACCACCTGAGGTCAGGAGTTCAAGACCAGCCTGGCCAACATGGCAAAATCCTGTCTCTGCTGAAAATACAAAAATTAGCCAGGCACGATGGTGGGTGCCTTGTAACCCCAGCTACTCGGGAAGCTGAGACAGGGGAATCACTTGAACCAAGGAGGAAGTAGAGTGAAAGCTTTCCCATCAGCTGTTTTTATTTTTGATTCTGTGCCAAGCTCATATGAATGAGAATTCATCAAGCATAGGGAGAGAGCTTAGTCTGGAACTGAGATTCAAGACTCAAGCTGGTTTCCTTTCATTGTAAGCCTCCCTAGAAAGCCTGCTTGGCTGAAGGATGGTGCTCTCAATAGGCTGCTACAGAGGCATATTGCTTACGCAGTTGCTTATACATAAGTTGAGTGCGGTGGCTCACATCTGTAATCCCAGCACCTTGGGAGGCCAAGGCAGGAGGATCACTTGAACCCAGGAGTTTGAGCCCAGCCTGGGCAACAAAGTGAGATCCCTGCCTCTACAAAAAAATTAAAATGAAAACACTAGCCAAGTGTGATGGTGCACACTTGTAGTCCTAGATAGGTGGCCGAGGCAGGAGGATTGCTTGAGCCCAGGAGGCTGACACCAGCAGTTTGCTGGGCAACACAACATTATGTCTTCCTTAGAGAGTTTTCGGATAAAAGCTCTCCGATCGGAGGGTAAAAATAGTACAAGGGATGAAGAAATGGACATTCCACTGGGAATATAAATTGGACTCACCACTCTGAGGAGCAATAGGCAAATGGGTTTTACTATTTTAAGCTGGGGGCCAGCAGTTTTACCTTGGGGTATCACTTCTAGAAAACTCCATGCACATGCACCCTAGAGGACCTGCCCCAGTCATTGTGGAATTCGTTATCATAACAACAATGTGGGAACCCTGAGGCCCGGAAAGATGAACTGTGGAGTAGACATGCCTGCAGATACCACGCAGCAATGAGAAAGAATAAGCTAGGCTGGGCGCAGTGGCTCACACCTGGAATCCCAGTACTTTGGGAGGCTGAGGCAGGTAGATCACAAGGTCAGGAGTTCAAGACCAGCCTGTCCAATATGGTGAAACCCCGTCTCTACTAAAAAACACAAAAATTAGCTGGGTGTGGTGGCAGGCACCTGTAATCCCAGCTACTCAGGAGGCTGAGGCAGGAGAATTGCTTGGACCCGGGCAGCAGAGGTTGTGGTGAGCTGAGATCGCACCACTGCACTCCAGCTTGGGTGACAAAGTGAGACTCCATCTCAAAAATAAAATAAAAAAGAGTAAGAAGAATAAGCTAGGTCTCTGTGTCATGGCATGGAATGAACACCAAGATTTTTTATTATTATTATTAGAGTGAAAAAACGTCTTGGAACAAGATGTACAGGATCAATAGCGGTAATTATAAAAATAATACTGTATCTTTTTATGATTATGTGTGGGTGTTTGTGTTTATACACTATTTATGCTATTAATTGTGGATACATCTGGTGGGAGGCAGTGCTCCAATGTGACTCTAATCTTATCTGAAATTTTAAAACATGTTTACAAATGTTTTCAGATGTTATTTGGGTAACCAAAACTTTAAGAGAGGATCATGTAGTTCTTATCTCATCAAGAGGAGGCACAGGTGGACTATTCTGGGGTCACCCATCTAGGAATTCCAACTAAGTCTGGCTAGCAAACCCCACCCTGAAATGCCAACTTCGGGAGAGCAGGAACTTGTCTATCTGATCCCCAGTATCTGAGACAGTCCCTGTATCCCCAGTATCTGAGACAGTCCCTGGCTCTTAAAAGGCCCTTAAAGGGTGGGGGAGGGGGAAGAAAGATGAAACCAGTTAGTGAAGGAGTAGCAGCTTTGCTTTTTGGTGCGCTACGTAAACAGCATTAATGATTCTATATGATGGGCAGCCTGACTCCATAGATAAGTGAATGGCTTTAGTGTCAGCTGTGTCCCTGATCCATTTATCTGCCTTCTAGTCTTTGCAGAGGAAACTGAACTTGCCTTATTTATCTGGGAAGATGTTTCCCAGCTCATGGCAGCCCTGTCCCACAACTTCTATTCAATAACACCTTCCCCGTGTTAAGGGAGGTGGGGCAGGGGAGGTTGGAGGTGTGGACAGGAGGAAATTTGTGACCATACTCCCGTGGCTTGTGGAATTCTTCCCCAAGGTTGTTGAAGTGACAGCAGCCCCTAAATTTCACTGGCTGCACCCACAGCTGATTTCTACTCTGACTTTTCACACTGAACACCTGGGGCATGATGCGCCTGTATTAAAACACAAAGGCAGTCTGCAGTCCCGCAGGCAGGGGGCTGCCCACGGCTCCAGGTGCACATCTTCCAGGGCTCATGCGCAGCACGAGAGAATGATCTCTTTTCCGGCAGTTCATCTTGGGGCTCCCACTGGCCCCAGGTGGCTCCACTATCCTGGAGCCAAGCACGGTAGACGGAGGAATGGGGGATGCTGATTGCCAGGCTCCGAGCCTGTTAGTAGGGTCGGTCCCAGCTGAGCCACATGGACTGAGGGCCGCAGGGAGGCAGTTTCCTAAGGAAAGAAGGGACGCTATTGCCAGAAAAGCCACCAGGCCAAAATGTCAGGAGCCCACTTCTCCCACCACGCTGCTTCTTAAGCCGTGACGTCCTTCTCCACGCTGCAGCTCTGAACAGTTCCGCTTTCTCCTCCTGCTTTCTTAGCACAAAGCAGGTCCATTCAGGGCACAACCGCCAGACAGGACTATTTAGTAGTATAATAACCATGATTAAGGGGATGGCTGTGTCATTTGAACAGGGCCTTGTGGATCTCCTCTCCCTTCTGGGATGGCCTGGGAGACAGTAGCATCCAATACTGATACACCTCTGACCACACCCTACATACAGTGCTAACATTAGGTTCAAGAGTAAACCAGAGGTCTCAAAGGCCATGGCTGGAGGGACTGGGCAGTCATGGAGTGGACTGCAGCGCCGGCAGTGAGCGTGTTCCACACAGTATGGGGTACATTTAGCAAACACTCCATAAATATTGTTTGAATGTGTACCTTTATTCCTACAGTACCTTCGTCCATCATACCACAAATATTTATTAAACAACTGTCGAGGGCAGGCCCTGTAGGAGATTTGGAGGATATAATGGTGGATAAAACAGACCAAATCCCTGCCATTGAGAGCTTACAGTCTGGTGGGGAGACCTAGGGAAATTGAATAACTCACCAACACCTGTAGAAACTGTTAGCGTGACCAGTAGGAGAGAGGGCCGTGAGCTGCAGCAGGGGAATCGCTCACTCAGAGAGGGCCTGGGGAAATCCTGCTGGCACTGAGGCCTCTGCAGGGTGAACAGGAGGGACTGGAGTTCCAGGCAGAGGGAACAGCATGTGCCAAGGCCCTGTGGCAAGAGGGAGTGTGGAGCAAGAGAAAGGCCAGCGTGCTGGAATCAGACATTGGGCAAGGAAAAGGCAGATCAAGGGTATGTTTGGAAGTCTTTGCTTCATCCTAAGGGCAATGAAGAGCCGTCGGAGGTTATAAGCAAGAATGAGGTGAGGAGAGCAGGTTCAGATTTATGCTATTGTTTGCTGCACAGAGAACAAACTGGAGGGAGGCCATGGTGGCCCCAGGGCGGTGGGCAGGCGGGCCGCGGTGGTCTTCCAGGGCAGAGAGGATGGTGGCGTGGACCTGGGCGATGGCCATGGAGGAGAACTTTACAAGGCCTGGAGATGGATTGGACCTGAGCATTGAAGGAGAGGGAGAAGTAAGAGTGATCCTGAGCTTTGGGTGTGAGCAATTGCCCCCTGACATGGGGAAAGCCAAGCTGATTTGTGATTCACAGATGTATTTTGAAGGGAAATTGAATGAGGCTGGTGGAGGCTGCCAGAGACATCCAGGTTTCGGCTACAGCTGCTGTCTGTCCAGAAGCCTGTGATTGAAATCAGCAGGCTTCGATTTCTCAGCCCATGAAGGATGCTGGGAGTGGCCCTCTCCACAGTCCCATTGGCCGACTGGCCATCTGTC